ACAGGGCAAGCAAGATTTGTTTTTCTTTTCCGCAAAAATGGGCTGGTGCCATTTGTGATTACGCAGCAAAACAAAGCGCATGACGTCAGTCTTGAATGCAGTACAAAGCAATGCAGTGCAGTGTGTGCGCTAGTTCGGATTGTTGCTAACAAGTACTAGCACAGCTAGTACACCATTAGCCCCATCCCTCACACAAACAAGTCAACAAAGAGGCATCTTTGGATTGAGGAGTGCTGGTTTCGAAACAACTGGTTTGAAGCTCAAAGTAGAGCTGGTGTTAGCTCAGAGCAGAGCTGGTGTTAGCTCAAAGTAGAGCTGCTGTTAGCTCAAAGTAGAGCTGCGGTTAGCTCAAAGTAGAGCTGCGGTTAGCTCAAAGTAGAGCTGCTGTTAGCTCAAAGTAGAGCTGCTGTTAGCTCAAAGTAGAGCTGCTGTTAGCTCAAAGTAGAGCTGCTGTTAGCTCAAGGTAGAGCTGCTGTTAGCTCAAAGTAGAGCTGCTGTTAGCTCAAAGTAGAGCTGCGGTTAGCTCAAAGTAGAGCTGCTGTTAGCTCAAAGTAGAGCTGCTGTTAGCTCAAAGTAGAGCTGCGGTTAGCTCAAAGTAGAGCTGCTGTTAGCTCAAAGTAGAGCTGCTGTTAGCTCAAAGTAGAGCTGCTGTTAGCTCAACGTAGAGCTGCAATGCTAAATGGATGTAATATAGCGCAAGGCAGAGCCGCAGCAAATAGCTAGATAACACCAGTTGTGAGAGTGGACCCATGAAACCAGCACTCCGTTAGCTAAGCACTATTGACGCACCGCAAGGGTCAATTAATGTCAGCACAGGCAAGCATTGCGCAGCTAGAGTTCAGTAGCTCATTACTCACCCGAGTTGGGGATCATGGCATCCATGGCACGGCAGCAAGCCGGGATGATAGCTGGCGGTATGCGCTTGTTGTAGTCTGGATGTAGCGTAGACACGCATCGCTCTTTCCACTGACCTGCCACTCGGAAGAAGGAGTCGAGGGCACTAGCCATAGCAGCAGTGGTGGCTGCACCAATGTGGACCGAATGCCCGGAGTAGTTCGACTGGGATGGTACACCGGCCGCAGAGACAAGAGACCATACTGTTACTGTGAATGACTGCCTGGTCAGCTGCTGTCTGTTCGAGAGTACGAACAAGAGTTGCTCCGGTCCCTCGCGACGAGTGACAGATGGGTAGCTAACAATGGCACGGACCGGGCAGTACGGCGGTACAGACGGGCCAATGTCACTAGTAACGCCTTTACCGAATGGGTCCGTCTTGGATGAAAGCAGGAAGAGTTGCAGGCGTCCGTCACCAGGGGAGCTAGTACAGCCCCGTGTGATGCCATTAGTGAATTCAGCGCACCGAAGAAATCCAAAGAAGCAGCATGACGGCTTGGCAGAGCAGCTTGTCATGGCCATTCAGGATACTACTTTTCCGGCGGGCATCCGTCAGGTGTCGTAGGATTGGCATAGTTATAGGAAGGCGAGGGGTGAGTGCAGCCGTACCATGGCATCGTTGGATGCCCTTCAACACCCTCTTCAGAAGCCACGCATCTACTAAGGGGCCAGCAAACCCATTCTCAAGGTGGGCTTTATGCACCGCACTCGCATACACAGATACAGTTCAGGGCACGCTGATCATAGTTCACGCATGAATGTGTGTCCAGGAACGATGACTCGGGCAGCAAAAGTGAGCTTCCCCAGGAGGGACTCGAGTTGACGCTGGCCGATGCTGCGCTCGCTGATAGTAGCCATGAGTGGCGCACGGATCTCGGACAGCTTGTCCTCTGGTAGCCGAGCTTCGTGGCGCTCGCAGTCTAGGACAATACCAAGGAAGGTCAATGATGGTGATGGCCCTTCGAGCTGGGATGGAGCAAAGAGTGCCGAGATATGTGAACGCCCGGAGGGGGATGATGAGTTGCTGGTTGGCTGCAGCCAAACCAGTGGAGATATCGAGAAAGTCATCGAGGTAGTGAAGCCGGTGATCTATAGCAAACTCGTGCTGCATGATCCAGTTGACTGCTGTGGCTACTGAGTCAAAGACGGCTGGGCTGGAGCGGAGGCCGAAAGGCAGAAAGCGCTCGTAGTAGTAGGAGCCTTCCCAGCGAAGTCCTGACGGCGGACTGGGATCTGCCGAAATGCACTGCGTACATCGAGCTTGGACAACTACACAGGCTGTGGGCATGACATGATGATGTTGATCGCGTTGTCAATGCTCGCGTAGTGCAGAGAGAGCGGCTCGGCAGGAATGCTGTCGTTCGCGCCGGTGCCTTCCGGACTAGACAGATGGTGGATCATTCGCGGCTTGCCGTTCTTTTTGGGGATGGCACCAATACCAGAGCGCATGAACTGAAATGGAGGTGACGGAAATGGGCCTGTGGTCTCGCTGCGGGCGCAGGAAGCAGCTAATTGCTCGGATATAAATGCCGAGTGAGTGAAAGCCAATGGTAGATTATTAGAGAAAACCGAAATGTCGTGTTGGCCGGCAGATCCAAGAGTAAAGCCACGGCGCAGGCCATGGGGAACATACGCAACACATGATTGATCTGAGTGGTTACGTAACAGGCGGGCAAAGTGGTCAGCTGGCAGTGTGGTGTCTGCAGAGTGTATAGGAAAGAAGCTACGTACCGAGTCAAGCGATTCGGTAGCCATTCTGCTAGGAGCGGCGGGGTGGCCAATTGGCTCCGCGCTGCCGCTGGTTGCACATGATGCATGGGTGGTCCTTGCCACACTGGCTGCAGGTATGGGAGAAGCGGCACGGCGACGAAGAACAGCGACCTCCATTGAAGTTGCGGCAGATTTCTTGGCCGTCGCTGGTATGGTTGCGACCACTGGAGGCAAATGCTGCTGGCTTCGGGACGAAAAGGACACAAACCGCCCCTGGATGGACCGTCTTACATTGAGCGCATTTTGGGTGTGCATGGCCTGTGACAGCTATCTGCCATAGGTTCACGTCGATGGTGTCCAACCTCTTCGTGCCTGGTTACTGGGCCACGAGCATCCGCAGCTGGCGGTCGTACTCTAGCCACGCGCTTGGGAGGAACTGGCAGTTAGCAGTCAGGATCAACTGCTGGTACGCAATCAGTTCAGCAGTGCGGTGTAGGGCAGCAGCCGTGATAACAGACATGTATGTGGTCCATGCCTCGAGCCGGGTAGCTACATGTGTAATTATCATGAACCTTGCGACGCACCTGCTTCGCGTCATCCGACTCAACGATATTTAGCTGGCTATCGTTATTCGGGCTGTGCACCAGCCGGAATGTTGGGCCGGAAGTGTGCAAGAATTTCCGAGGCAACAAACTTGAAAAATCTACGAACTCCCCTCGCAAGATACGTTCTTGCACAGCCTTGGGCACAGCTGGTGCAGGTGGCTGATCGGGTGGGTTACAGGAGCTTGGCCTGGCGTAGTGGCGGCAGCTGCCGCATTGCCTTGGCCTTGGGTGAGGAGCGGCGCCGAGAGTGAATGCTCTCCGATAATAATAAAATGGCGGCCGACAAAGCCGACTACACCTCGTCCCGTACGGGAGCGCAGAGATCCGTTGAGCCCGCGTCACCTGAGCTGGCGGAGGAGGCATTGGTGCACGTCGGGCTTCTGGGCTCGCGAGCCGTGTCCGCACTGTCATGTTGCTGGTTCTCCTGGCCGGAGCAGACCTCACTACCAAGGGCTAGTTGTGCCAGCAAACGGTCCTGTCAAATACTTTTACTAAGTTTCCTTTCGGATTCAAGCCGCGCTGAGAAGGCTCGCCGCGGAGGGCTTGGCAAGGCATTGCCTTGACAGTGTCGACAGTAAGGTCAGACATACTGAAGAAAAGAAATACAGTGTCGAGGTGACACTCGGGCTGGCAGCAAAGCTACGAAAGGAAAAGAAACACTGCTGAAGCACGATCCGTTGTCTGGAAGAGCACAACAGGGCAAGCAAGATTTGTTTTTCTTTTCCGCAAAAATGGGCTGGTGCCATTTGTGATTACGCAGCAAAACAAAGCGCATGACGTCAGTCTTGAATGCAGTACAAAGCAATGCAGTGCAGTGTGTGCGCTAGTTCGGATTGTTGCTAACAAGTACTAGCACAGCTAGTACACCATTAAAAACATCTCTCGAATAGAAGCCCAGACTACTATACGCGAAGCGTGGGGTGACCAGGTAGTGCCATGTATGTCAAGGGCATAAAAAAACATCTCGTGTATGTTCATATTGGTACATGTCCTGGCCAACGTAGTGTGTGCAAACTAACTCGGGGCCGAGTTGCTGTGAATATGAACGTTTTAGAGATTCGATTGGAATACTGGTATGGAATGAAACAATATAAAACCCTCTCGAATAGAAGCCCGTCTTGAATAGAAGCCTCGTCAAAATTGGTATTGAAAAAATACAAGTCCCGGCTCTTAATCCAGTGAGTACTGTATGTGTGCGTGTGTGTGCCTGTGTGTGTATGTGTGTGTGTGTGTGTGTGTGTGTGTGTGTGTGTGTGTGCATGTGTGTGTGCGTGCGTGTGTGCGTGTGTGTATGTGTGTGTGTGTGTGTGTGTGTGTGTGTGTGTGTGTGTATGTGTATGTGTATGTGTGTGTGTGTGTGTGTGTGTGTGTATGTGTGTGTGTGTGTATGTGTGTGTGTGTGTGTGTATGTGTGTATGTGTATGTATGTGTGTGTGTGTATGTGTGTGTGTGTGTGTGTATGTGTGTGTGTATGTGTGTGTGTATGTGTGTGTGTGTGTGTGTGTGTGTGTGTGTGTATGTGTGTGTATGTGTGTATGTGTGTATGTGTGTGTATGTATGTGTGTGTGTGCTTTGTGTGTGTGTGTGTGTGTGTGTGTGTGTGTGTGTGTGTGTGTGTGTATGTGTGCGTGGATGTGTAATAATATGATAAGTCTCGTTATAAGACATTTTCTATGTCCCAACTTGCCATAGATTATGTAGTAACGAGGGATGACCTGTACACAGTATTGAACTCTTGAAGGACATAGTCATCACAGTGTAGAGTTTTAAATGCATTTCGTTTTCATGCAGGTTTTCACTACTGATGGAAACTTCATTACCATGTTCGGATCAAAGGGAGAGTCAGATGGTCAGTTCAAGGACCCGATGTTCATTGCCGAGGATAGGCATGGACACTTCCTGGTCACTGATTATAACAACCACCGTGTTCAAGTAAGCTAATTAGTGATTAGTTTGTCTTACCCTTTTGCTTCTAGCACTACTTCTGTTGCTAGATACATCATACCCTGTTGCAAGAGTGTGAAGCTGTAATTGCAATGCCTTTGGCAATTTTAGATTGAGAAATCTCACCATGTGCTAGACTGGCAAGATGAAAACCTTCTACTGAGGTGGATTGATGACACTCGAGCCATTGCTGAGAGAAACACATTCATTTGCAGTGTGGTTATTGTGACAATTAGAAAAAAGAAACCAGTGATATACGGTTTCTTTTGGGCCAGGTCGAACACTTTGTTGTCGCCCTTCGTACATATCCAGGGGGTTTTAGTGAACAAAAAGCAGCGAAATGAAAGCAATCTCTGGCGGAATGCGAAGAACCTCTTCAGCCAATCAGCAAACCCTGGACTTTGTGCACAATGACCCCTGTTGCATTTGCACGAATACACCACATAGCTGCAGTAGCTGTGGACCACGTGATGTGAGCAATGCCATCAGGGACCGTGTCTATAAACTCATTAGTTGAGCTTGAGTAGGGTGTAGGGATTTTTTTGGAAAACTGCCACTTAAATTATAGCTCTCCTCTGCAATCCAGACCACCACCAGATAAGCACATTTATAGAAACACTCCATTTCCAGCACGACAAACACCTCGTGAACACCAGATAGCAGTGTAAGTCAGTATTGCTCCTGGAAGGTGAGAACAGGTGTTGAGGAGTCTCGATCATTCACAACGCTGTCAACTCCAAACCAGCTAGTCAAAAACTTGTACTTGGAATATCAGTAAAAACAGTGGTAGCAACGTCGGCAATTGTAATGCAAGAAAATTGGTTGTAAGCCCAGCACAGCCTTCTAACTACATCATTATTAATGTTACTATTCCGTAAAAAGTGATATGTCACAGGTTGTACTTGTGCAAAACAAGATTAAATCGTTGAAAGGATCGGGAGAACTTCAAAGTCAAAAGATCAGTCGGGGAAGAAAGCTGCCTTAAAAGAGAGAAAAATGCCAGACCCACCAGGACTTCAACCCAGGGCCAGCTTGCTTGTCATGAGCAAATCTTATTCAAATGAATTTTTGGTGGGAGTTTGCCATTGAATTTTAAGAGAAACTGTCACGTAAAGATTCCTAGCCTTGTCTTGTGATGATAGACAAAATGTTGTTATACCGAAGGTTGCACTGCTGCACATGTGGCTCTGAAAGGAAAGATGAGGGGAGCTTGTCACCTGCATCTTTAGCGGATTCATCGTTATCAGAAGAATTACATTCACCTAGTTACGGTTCTTCTTGGCTCAGGTTGGTTTTGTGATCGCCAACCGAAGGTGACGTGGTGACGTGGTGCTGTTTACGCCTTATGGTGCTGTTTTTGCTCATTTTCGTAATGTTCTCCCACATGAAATGGACCAAGACTTTTTACTTACATGCCAAACAGATCATTGTGCAAGAAGTCAAAAAGATGGTGTTATGAACCCTCTAAGATTCTCTAAATTGTCAGGATCGTACGACCACACGGCACGAGGACAACTGTTTTCCTTTACACAGTATATTTCACTTCATCTGATAATTAACAATGAACACTAATAGCACCAGCTATTTATAGCATGCAAAAACAGCGTACATGCAAAACATAAGCATATAAAACTGGACATAACAGCGTATACAGCAAAAACACACACAGCGCATATAGCGTATGCCATGCAGCAACATCAGCGGTACGGCGGAGTCGAAAGACAACATTGCGACGAATACAACGCCATAAGCGCGAAGGCCTTTCCCAATTGAGAACTGGTGGTCTGCAACATTCTCCCCACCAAAGGGCTTCTCACCGCCGTACAACAATGCACACAAGTCAAAAACGATCCGGGGCTCTGACTACGTGCCCAGAACGCGTCATCTCCTGCTGCCGTGGTGGTGGTAACGGTGCTGACGGTTCATACGCTGGCTGCTGAGGGACGATAGCCGGTTGAGCGGTATCGGCAGCCCAGGAGCCACGGCCTGTGACGATACTTCTAATGGCACTAACCTTTGGATCGGCCTCAACAGGGTACTGGTACTCAACTTAACCTTGGCAACACGACGCTTACCATCTCGACCAGGGAATAACTCGATGATCCGTCCCAAACGCCAGAACTGTTTGCGCTTGGTATCATCGAGAACAAAGACCACATCACCCACAGCTAAAGGGCGCGACATGGTTTGTTGGTGTTTGTTCAGCTGACTTAGGTACTCCACCTCCCAACGATTCTTGACATGCTCCAGTGTCCGACTGAGGTAACGCAATCTCGATGACATCTGCGCAGCGTCCAGGGTACCTGCTGGCTTCTCTGACGACATCCAGATGTTACCCATCATCATTGCAGGGGTTACTGGTGGCTCATCCAGGCTATCAGACACATAAGTTAGCGGACGACTATTCACCACTGCTTCAACCTCATACAAGAGGGTCTCAAGCTCCTGGACCTTCAGAAACGCTGTTCCCATTACCTTTTTCAAGGCACTCTTCACTGTACCAACCATTCGCTCATAGAAGCCTCCATGCCATGGTGCAGCTGGAGGATTGAACATCCATGGTACACTCAGTTTGTCAGATGCCGCCTTGAACGTTGTAGCGTTGTCAGACCTGATCCGAGACGGCAAACTACGTCTCGCGACAAACTTCCGAAATGCCATCAAGAATGACTCGGTACTTAAACTATCGACCACCTCCAAGTGAACTGCTCTGGTGGTGGCACACACAAACAATGCTATCCATACCTTCGGAGATGACTCACCACGGCGCACGTACAACGGACCAGCATAGTCGATGCCGGTAGTTGAGAACGGCCTCTCGTGAACAACTCGGTCTTCCGGCAGCGGCGGGCAGACTTCTGAGGCAGCCTCAGCCTTGTAGCGGCGGCATGTAACACATCGCTGAGTAATGTTGCGCAGCGCCCGTCGACCACCGATAATCCAAAATTTCTGACGGATGAACGACAAGACTCCTTCTACACCTTGGTGCATCCTTTCAACATGCATTTTCTCCAACAGCAACTCGGTCAGATGATGTTTGCCTAACAGGACTGGGTGCTTGGCTCCATACGCCAACTCGCTGTGCTGAAGTCGTCCCCCGGCTCTGAGCACTCCATGCTCATCCAGAAACGGTGCAAGCTGATACACCTTCGACCCAGGCTTCACTGGTTGACCTTGCTTGATCAGCTCAAGATCCTCAGCGAAACATGCGGCTTGAACGATGCGGTACAATACGTTGTCTGCTGCAAAATAGAGTTCAGCACGAGGCTCAGTGTGCTTCAACTGCAACATCCGAGTCACCATGCCCTGTGCCCTCGACCATTTACTGAATCGGAGCCACCATTCCTTATCAGATTCTCGACTACAGGTTGTGGCTGACACTCGTACTTCCACACTGGACTCATCTGTAGCTGCGGTTGAGGATGCAGTGGGCCAGTCATTGGGCTCCGTGATCCAGGTTGGTCCGCCCCTCCAGAACGGACTACGAATCTGCTGTGCACTACTCCCACGCGACGGTAAATCTGCTGGGTTGTGAAGGCCCGGGCAATGGTTCCACACAATGCCGACCTTCTTCGATATCTCTTGGACTTGACTGACGCGGTTAGCCACAAATGTTTTCCATTTGTACGATGGATTACTGATCCAATGAACGGTAGTGAGACTGTCAGTCCAGCCATAGACTTGCGCGACGGTCACACGCAGCTCCTTCACCACAAACTCAGCGTAGCGAGCCGCTAGACATACTGCTTGTAACTCAAGGCGGGCTAACGTGGGCGGAGACACAGGTGCCACTTTGGCCTTGGCAAATACCAAGTGCGACTGTCCATTGACGACTGCATACAAACAACATCCAAACGCTTTCTCACTGGCATCGGCGAAGGCATGAAGCGCAATCGGCGTGTCAAGATTGCAGCAAATCCAACGTGGTATGTCAATGCTCACCACTTCGGCCAACTCTCCCCACCATTGCGCACATGCGGCTGCGATGCCATCAGGCAACATATCATCCCAGTCGCCTCCGACTTTCCAGGCTTGCTGTAGCAGTATCTTTCCCGGCACAACTGCCGGTGCTGCTAGACCTAGCGGATCAAACACTGATGCAACACACTTGAGGAGGGATCGCCGGGTCCAAACAGACGGCCTATCGGACTCGCCTAGCACTGCTATGCTGAGCAAGTCATCACTGGTTTTCCATTTCAGACCGAGGACTTTATCTCCGGCCTCTGGATCGCACGGGATTTCGTTGCCTCGCCACTTGCGTAACTCCATGCCAGCATCCGTAAGCACACGCACGCTGAACTCTTGCATCTCCTTAGCTTCCGAGGCATTTGAGACACTAGAGACCAAATCGTCAACGTAGAAACTCGTGAGCAAGAGATCAATACGATCTCGCTCCTTGGGTGCAGACAACGCCCGTAGCTCCTTCAAGTGATGCTGAATCACCGCAGTAAGCATGTATGGCGAGCAGTTTACGCCAAATGGCAGTTTCGTTAGCCTCCAGGTTAACAGTTCATCGCTGTCGCTTCGACCTGGCCACAAGAAACGCAGGTACGGACGGTCTTCGGGATTAACCGCGACCATGAAGAAAGCCTTGCGGATGTCCGCTTGCAGCGCGCTCTTATATTCACGAAACCGTAATAGCATACCTGCGAGACTCGGCAATAGCGACGGTCCAGGGTCAACCATGTCGTTTAACGACTTGCCATCTGGCGCCGTCGCCGAGGCATTGAACACCACTCTTAACTTCGTGGTTGCAGCGTGCTCGCGGAATACACCATGATGCGGTACATAGTACCCGGCATCGCTCTCACATGGCTCCAGCTCAATTGCTCCAAGCTCGCGGTACTCCCTGATCAGCACATCATCATAGAGCGCACGCTTCCCATTCCTCTTCAGCTTTTCAAGAAGCCGCGTTGCGATGACTCTAGCTTGAGCATAGTTATCCGTTGGGCGACGCTCATTTCGCCACAAGAGACCCACTTGGTACCCGCTGCCCTGGCGACATAGCGGGAAAGATGGCAGGTGCTGATGTTGTTCTGGAGGTTCATCCAACTGCCATAGTTTGTCGATGTGGGCTGTGACACATGACACGGTCACCGGCTGACTGTTACGACTTGGTGCCGACGCTGGACCAGATAATACATTACCTATCTCTGTGTTCCACACCGTCTCACCATTAACTTCCTTCTTGCTGTGCAGTACCGCGTTGATATAGTCTGCACCAATCAGCATATGTATTTCGTCTGATGTCCCTTGTTGAGGCTTGTCACTCAGCTCTACTCCCCAACTGTGCCACTGCGCAATGGTCTGCGGACTTGCGCACTTCAGGTCCAGCTCTAGCGTTGGTTTCACGAACGCGCGTACCCGAATGCTAGCGGAGCTACCCTGGATCGTGATGGCGTACTTATCCATGCGCTGTTGGGTTGGTTCCGCACCGAACGGCTTCACCTCTACATTTTCAACCCCAACGTGTTCTGCATCGATTGCTGATACCAACGCTGCAGTCACGAATGACGCCTCAGCACCCGAGTCCAGGAACACTCGAACCTTCGCGTTTCGAGTTCTTCCCTCAACTCGTGCCACTCCGGTCATCAGCCGCACACTTGGCGAGTGTAGACAGCACGACCCAACATTCTTCTCCGTAACTATCTCAGTCGGTTTCTCCCGGCTGTAACCTGCTCTATCCAACACATCATGTATTAGCAGGTGGTGTTTCCTCTGGCATTTCGTGCATCTCGAGCCTGACCGACATTCTCTGGCCATATGGCCATACTTAAGGCAGTTCCAGCAGAGTCTCTCTCGCTGCAGAAAACCCTTTCTCTCTTCCTGTGGCAGCGACTTTAGCTGCTTCTCTGCATCTGCGACCGATATCGCCATGCACTGTGCCGACGCCGTGGGCCTTGGCACGGATCGTTCTACTGGCTTCCTGGCAGTATCACCCTGTCGTCCGTGCGCGACCTGGTAAGACGCGCCGTGCTCCTGTACCTGGCGCAGTGACATCCCGTAGCACTGCCGTTCGACCAGGTACGTCTTCATCTCAGGTCCGCATTGCTCCAAGATTACCTGCTTTGCCATTGCTTGCAGCACCGGGGCCATTTTACCTATATCGGCGCTATACTTGGTGCCCACCTCGCCATCCTCTGTCATAGCGAGTGTGGCCCACACCTCTACCTCTCGGCAAACACGGACAACGTATTGATGAAACGACTCATCTGACCGCTGCTTGCCTGTCAGCAATGTCTTCCACGCTTTATCCGGAGTCTTTCCGAGCGAGGCAAGCAACTCTCGCTTTGCTTCCTCGTAATTGTTGCATCCAATACATATCCTCTCCGCTTTGCTACCCGCTAGCGCGATGCGCAGTCGCAGCAGCCATTCGCTTTCTTCGAACTCGTTCTTGGAACAGATGTCCTCGAACAGGTCAAGATAACGCTCCAATGGCTGCGTTCCATCATATGAGGGGATTTTCATCAACGGTTGACGCCCCCCGCTGTGACTGGGAGATTCCTCTGTACCTCCCATCGCGGCTTTACCCTCACCCTCATGCGCATTGGCGATGCGCTCGTTAATCTCGTTTAGTGTTTTGGCAAACTCGGTGCGGAGCGCCTCCTCTCGCCGTCTGGCACTGCGCTCCTCACGCTCCGCGTACTGTTGGAGCCTCTGCTCCACATGTACCTTCAACAACTCGCCTTCTAATCCTAACCGCTCTCCATTGTCGATAAAGCTGGCTTCCAAATTGTTCCATAGTTCCTCTGCCATGCTCGCTCCTATCCTGGCGTGGTCGCCAAATGTTATGAACCCTCTAAGATTCTCTAAATTGTCAGGATCGTACGACCACACGGCACGAGGACAACTGTTTTCCTTTACACAGTATATTTCACTTCATCTGATAATTAACAATGAACACTAATAGCACCAGCTATTTATAGCATGCAAAAACAGCGTACATGCAAAACATAAGCATATAAAACTGGACATAACAGCGTATACAGCAAAAACACACACAGCGCATATAGCGTATGCCATGCAGCAACATCAGCGGTACGGCGGAGTCGAAAGACAACATTGCGACGAATACAACGCCATAAGCGCGAAGGCCTTTCCCAATTGAGAACTGGTGGTCTGCAACAGATGGTATATGTTCAAATAACTACGTAGCTACACATGGATCTCTACCTTTTGGCATTCTCCTTTTGCACGACATACCCATGTGTGCAGCTCTGGTGTCCAAGTTCACAAGGCATTAGTGCACCGAACATCGGAACAGCTACAGTGTATGTCGATCGAGCAGCACACGGGTTTGACTACGTTTTGATGATGAATGTACAAGTGGAGATCTAGTCCGGTGTGGCATCACACGGTACTTTTTGACAACTGTGGGCACCTTCATTTCAAATCATGAAAACTGTCACCCAAGGGAAATGATGGCGTTGACAGTTCCTCCATTCCAAGTTCATAGTGAGATGGTTACTCTAGTATACTAGTATTCAGATAACCTCAATCTGTGGACAGCATACTCTGTGGTCCTTTGTGGACTCGTCAGCGCAGCAAAGGGAAAATATGGCCGAACCTGATACATGTAGCAATGATAAAATATTTTCCAAAGCCAGATTTAAATAAGGACTAACAACACGTGGAGCTGCTAGACGCACACACACACACATACGGTCTCTGAACTGCAATAAAGAAAATAAAAAGATTCGGCCCTGGGCATCATGAAGATTGACTGTAAAAAAGCAAGAAAGTTTACAGATAAAATCTGTCTCATTGTGTGTATACCGTATTTTCCAGTGTACATGTATAAGCCGCACTTCCAACGCTCAAAATACACTCAAAAATGTAGGTTGCAGCTTATACTCCGATGATCGGTAATAAATTACTAGGGTTGATGTCTGTATTTTGTGGGAAACAATTTGGGTTGCTGTTTATACTCCAGTGTGATCTATACTCTGGAATAAACGGTATGTGCGTGTGTGTGTGTGTGTGTGTGTGTGTGTGTGTGTGTGTGTGTGTGTGTGTGTGTGTGTGTGTGTGTGTGTGTGTGTGTGTGTGTGTGTGTGTGTGTGTGTGTGTGTGTGTGTGTGTGTGTGTGTGTGTGTGTGTGTGTGTGTGTGTGTGTGTGTGTGTGTGTGTGTGTGTGTATGTGTGTGTGTGTGTGTGTGTGTGTGCATGAGTTCAAGTGAGTGCATTGTGCGTGTTTTTATGTGTGTATGTGGGGGGGGGGGGGGGGGGGTGGCGCGTGTTCGCGTTCTCATGTGCCACACCCGATTCTGCTCGTGACTTGAACACTGTTGGTCCCTTCGGGACCTTCTATCATCTCTGGATGGGCATATAATTATTCTATCGTAATGTATGTGTACTTCTGAAGTATGATTGTTTATGTATGTGGTGGGTGTTTGTGTGTACATGTTTTTGTAAATGTGTGAATGGGTGTATACCGGTATGTGTGTGTGTGTGTGCGTGCGTGCGTGTGTGCGTGCGTGCGTGCGTATTGTGTATATGCGGGTGTGTGTGTGTGTGTGTGTGTGTGTGTTTCCATCGTCATACCCTGTTAGGTGTTCACTTCTGACACATTCTCTCACGTGGCTACCTTCGGTTCAAGCAGTTGTCTTACTCATCCGCACGGCATTGCTGTATCACCCAGTGGTACTGTGTATGTTAGTAACTGGGGAAAGCACTGTATCACAATGTTCTAACTTTTGTCCTGGAGCATCTTGTTTCTTGTTCTACACTAATGTTTCTCACTGCTGTGAAACATGAACAGGACCAGTATTAGCAGTTTTGTTTGCTCAGGCTTTACTATAGTATTTCAGATTTCTTGTGTGACACATCGAGTATGCATAACCTACCCAGTAGCTAACATGTATAGGGTAGTCCAACAGTAGATCCAGCCAAGTCATGACCGACTGGACCAGTTACAACATGCCTGATTAAGCTGATGAACATATGAGCAATGCCAATTACTGTATATCATACCGGTACTTGCATGTTTGAATGTGTGCTTGCATATGTGTGTATGTGTGTGTGTATGTGTGTGTGTGTGTGTGTGTGTGTGTGTGTGTGTGTGTGTGTGTGTGTGTGTGTGTGTGTGTGTGTGTGCACTTGTGTGTGTGTGTGTGTGTGTGTGTGTGTGTGTGCGTGTGTGTGTGTGTGTGTGTGTGTGTGTGTGTGTGTGTGTGTGTGTGTGTGTGTGTGTGTGTGTGTGTGTGTGCATGCATATGTATCTGTGTGTGTGACTGTGTATGTATGTGGGGTATGTGTGTGTGTGTGTGTGCGTGCGCGTGTGTGTGTGCGTGTGTGTGTGTGTGTTTGTGTGTGTGTGTGTGTGTATGTTTGTGTATGCGTGTGTGTATGCATGCATTTTCTTATGAACTCCTGCACTGAGTTGTATATCTACATTGTACTTGGATCACTCTCATTGTTACAATCCTATTCTCGATGTGGAGAGGATGATTCTATTGATTGTGTAATAGCTGGGTGCTCTTTTCCTTTCTCTGAAAATCTATTGTTTTTCAGCGAAATGTCTCGCTGCTAAGTGTCGCAATACATCATAACGTTTTTTTTTATGTCACTTTTGGATACAATGAAGAATGTGCACAATGTCTGAGGTGCTGTTTTCTTTCTATCGTGTTTTGTGGTGCTTTGTGCTAATATCTATTTTTTAGAATTGTTTCAAAACGTTTTAAATCCTGCTGCTCACCTTTGTTTGATCTGAAGAGATGGAGTATTGATAGCTGTCTGATGATTGCCTATGGAGTATTGATAGCTGTCTGATGATTGCCTATGGAGTATTGATAGCTGTCTGATGATTGCCTATGGAGTATGGCCATGAAACTCTTTGTTATAACGATAATGTGTGGTGCTCTGTGTTGCATGACCAGTCTTAGTTATAACTAACAATGCTACAGCCGTGTAAAGGGCACTTAGAGTAATAGCAGGGAGCAGTAAGAACAGAACAGAGCAATGACAAAAGACGCCAGTTGCCAGAACAGAAACGCGAAGAACAGACTGAGTAACGAAAGCCAGTAAGGAGCCAAAACCCAATCCACACATGACGTCACATGCAAATGCGTGGGCCATAGGCATAGCCCGATTTTGCTAGCAATTCTGCTAGCAAAACATCGAAGAATTTTGAAAGGGAATTTGCTGGCAAAATGGAGCAAAATATCGGTGTGTTGGCTGGGAATTGGGAGATTTTACACATATACGGTGCACATGACTCATTTCGGCACAGTTTTACCAACACGTGACTCACTTTTTCTCATTTTTGCCAACATGTAACCCACTTTCGGTCAGTTTTCTCACACGTGACACAAATTTTGGAGCAAAAAGGGAGCAAAATATCGAGTGGCCTGGCAAAATGAAAGCAAAATATCGACGATGAGCCAGCAAAATTTTGCGGCAAAATATCGAAGCTTCCCTGGCAAAATCGGGCTTTGCCTAGTGGGCCACACAATATGAACACATGACTGTGTGTATGTAAAAGTGGTACACGTGACCCTCTAGGATTTTTGTGTAAGGGAGATAAAGTACTAGTATGGGGCTGTTAATTAAGTGATGACGTCACAGTTCCTTCGATGTGCATAGGCGAATGACTGTTGGGACATTCTTCCAAAACATGACGTCACAGAATTCGTAAAAAAAAGACAACTTTTGTCGCAAGCGGCTAGCCTGTCGCGCTCGCGAGACTCACCTTGGGCGCGCTCGAGCTGCGAAGCGCGACACACGAGCGCGACCCAAACTGTGTCACGTGTGTGTCGAATCTGACCGTCATTATGATCGCCTTCGATTATTTATTTTCGTTCTACTCGACAATTCCAAAAATCAGTGCCATTGGCTTTAGCTTTGCCCTTGAACTTGAAATCTCGTGCCTTATTCTTTCCTGGGGACTGGTGTTGGATATCGAACGGGCGGAGTTACCGCCGGGATGATGGATGAAGGATATGATGGCCTAAACTTGGCTGCGCGCATTCTCATTTTCGCGTGGCCTGCCACTAGTGTTTCGCAGATTCACAAAGGGTGTAACAGGCATAGCTGGAGGAAGAAAGGTGAGAGAATCGGTTTCACAGTGCAGATCAACCCAACCATTTGGTTGTTTTAATCAGTTTACTTCGCACAGTCAAACGGGATGACCACCCAATAAAATTTCGGAACGTGACATTTTTGTAATTTATTGATTTTCCCGCATTATACCACAGTTTGTTGTTCAGGTTATTTCGCTTCAACTTTTGAGGTATGAATTCCTTAACTGCAGACTCGACATGCAAGCTCCATACTGACCAGGCTGTGTCAACATCAGGTCACGGCTTGTTTGACTTTGTCCGTTAGGCTGTGTTTGCATAGATATTCTGATGGCGTCAAAGACAGTTAGAGATTTTGTTGGTCGTGTGTCGGGGGTATTGTCCCCGCCGAAACTGAATGCAAGTTTAAGAAAGACTAGGTCTAGTGAGTTATGATCAGAAGTGTCCTGTGGGTCTAGCCCTCAGCCCCTCTGCGGCAAGCAGTAAACTATATTTACACCAAAAAGCGCAAAACAAGACTTGATTTTTTACGCGGCTCTTTTCACCGTGATACTTATTGTACACGTGTTTTAAAGATTTGAAATACCCATGGCAACTGGTGGGTAAACTGGTGGGTGAATCATTCAAAAATGCAAACGTGCCCGCTGTTGAGTGCTGCCATGTGAATCCACACAGTCACTTTTCTCGTAAATCACTCGCCGTAAAACGTGCAAGTGGCTGTCGTGTGAATCGCCTATCTGACTGTCTGCAGTTGTCGAAGTATTTCCCTGCACTCACTGTACTTTGTTAGAGATGTTCCGCATAACGTAATTACGTTAGTTAAAAAATGTAGTCGATCTATGGAAAGTCTTACGTAAACTGCATGCGCATCTGGGTTCCGCCATACGGAGTTTTCAAATCATAGCAGACTCAGCGGAGGACGTTCAGGTTGGTTGTAACTCTTGAGTTTCATGCCGTTAGGCAAACATCAGACAACTGATACTCGGGTGTGTGTGTTTGTGTGTGTGTGTGTACGCGCGTGTGTGTGTGTGTGTGTGTGTGTGTGTGTGTGTGTGTGCATGTGTGTGTGTGTGTGTGTGTTTGGCACACGCCATGTTCTCTCTTGTGCAGGTACTACACGAATTTGAAACGCGACAAACTCTACAACGTCATTAGCCTGGAGTTCACCAAGACTAAGTTGGAGCCTCAAGTGGAGTCACCCAGTCTGGTACGTCAGCAATTCTTCATACATTTGAGAGAATCAAAAGCGTTTCTGCTGTAACTCTGAGTTTCACGGTTTTAACCGATCATCAGACAGCAACTTGGACTACAATTTTCAGAAGATATGATTGATATAAGCTACAATCAATCAATCCTATGCATGTAACGTTATATGTAGTACACTCTTATCTGTTGTATCCGGGCGGTCCGGGACCGAGGGCTCTGCCCTTCATTTGGAAATGTTCGTAATCACGTACATCTTGATGTGGAAGGCACGTAGATCTGGCATATTACGTCACTCCTGGTATTTCCACAAATTGGTAGAAAAGTAGTAATATATCCACTAGAACTCACTCACAGGGTTCCCCGTAGACCAAGATGCCCGTAACTTGGAGGTCCAGATAGGAGCCGTGAGAAATAAGTGCACTGTAGTTGAGCACTCCACTGCACTACTGTCTCCCATGTATGCCGTGTTGGGGGGTTTGGTGGGCGTTTGAGGCTCATGTCATACATGATCATGCTTAGGCTCGTTTTGAGAAAGTATGGATTTTTAACTCCTGATTGGTTTGTGCAATGTGTTTATATTGGTTTATCAATGCCCCATTACAAGCTGTATAGTATGTATTCACAACCGTGTACAAATTGTTCATTTGTCTTTTCTTCTTCCTACTGCTTGCTTGGTGCGGCTGCTGTTGCTGTTGTTGTTGTTGTTGTTGTTGTTGTTGTTGTTGTTGCTGCACGCAGGTACGTCATATGGATGGAGTGGACTTGGTGTGGCCGGAAACATTGCGCGCTTTGCCGCAGGAGGCCACCAACCGACTGGTCGACATGAAATATCCCAAAGTGCAAAAGTATGTGTTTTGTTTGTTCTTGTTGATGCTGCTGCTGCTGCCGCCGGTGTTGCTGTTACTGGCCGACTGCTGGTGCTGTTGATAGTACTACAGGTGTAGCTTCCCTATTGCTGGTGCTTGTGGTGCTGCTGCTGTTGTTGGCTTACTGATTGTGCTGCTGTTGCTGTTGCTGGCTGCCCTACTGCTGGTGCCGGTTGTGCTGGCGCTGCTGTTGCTGGTCTACTGTTGTTGTTGGCTTACTGATTGTGTGGCTGTTGCTGTTGCTGGTGACTGGTGTACGCGGGAGCACGTGACCGCTTGTTCAACCATGTTCGATTGGGAATAAAGGAGGAACGCTGCATCGCAGCCTTTTTTGGACCAAAACCAGTCGACTCAGCGTCTAAAAGACTACAACATATGGGCCAATCGCGGTCATCCGTGCTTTTATAAGAGCGACATGGCGTTTTTAGTGACATTTTGCATACAAATCCCCATCTAGTAGGGCGCAGTCACCCAGTTTCGGTGGAAGTGCGCGAGTTCGATTGGGAACAAAGGAGGAAGGGAGCGTCTCAGCTTCCTCGGACCAAGACCATTCGACTCAGTACCCCGAAGACTACAACTGGTGAAAATGTGATTTTAGGGTATGCTTCCCCTTTAACAGTGCGCTTTGTGTGCATGTGTATACTGGGGTTACTATGATGGGGGTCTGGGGGCAAAAAGCCCCCAGGTGATGCATTTTATTTTTTCATCCTACTGATATTTGGCCAAAATGATGTGGCAACACTGGTGTGTGTATGTTTGTTCGTTGACAGGCTGGATTCATGCAGTTCACACTCCTGTGGATTGGCTAGTGTTTGGTGGAAAATTTCTGCACAGTTTCAACATAAGCGGTCAGCTTGCCGTGGCGGACATTGAAGAAACTACTAAGGTACGTGAGCTGTGCTGTGCATGTCTGTAATATCTTCTACAACTCTAGCACGGCAATGCCTTGTGTGAGCTTTCCAAGGCTTGCAGTTGTGCATGAAGGTTTCTGTTTTGTTATGCTCCTACGTCGTTCATCGATGTTGCCGTGGAACTGTGTGTGTATGTGTCTCTGTCTCTCTCTGCAACATATGGGCCAATCGCGGTCATCCGTGCTTTTATAAGAACGACATGGCGTTTTTAGTGACATTTTGCATACAAATCCCCATCTAGTAGGGCGCAGTCACCCAGTTTCGGTGGAAGTGCGCGAGTTCGATTGGGAACAAAGGAGGAAGGGAGCGTCTCAGCTTCCTCGGACCAAGACCATTCGACTCAGTACCCCGAAGACTACAACTGGTGAAAATGTGATTTTAGGGTATGCTTCCCCTTTAACAGTGCGCTTTGTGTGCATGTGTATACTGGGGTTACTATGATGGGGGTCTGGGGGCAAAAAAGCCCCCAGGTGATGCATTTTATTTTTTCATCCTACTGATATTTGGCCAAAATGATGTGGCAACACTGGTGTGTGTATGTTTGTTCGTTGACAGGCTGGATTCATGCAGTTCACACTCCTGTGGATTGGCTAGTGTTTGGTGGAAAATTTCTGCACAGTTTCAACATAAGCGGTCAGCTTGCCGTGGCGGACATTGAAGAAACTACTAAGGTACGTGAGCTGTGCTGTGCATGTCTGTAATATCTTCTACAACTCTACCACGGCAATGCCTTGTGTGAGCTTTCCAAGGCTTGCAGTTGTGCATGAAGGTTTCTGTTTTGTTATGCTCCTACGTCGTTCATCGATGTTGCCGTGGAACTGTGTGTGTATGTGTCTCTGTCTCTCTCTGCCTCTGTCTCTCTCTCTGTCTCTCTCTGTCTCTCTCTCTCTCTCTCTCTCTCTCTCTCTCTCTCTCTCTCTCTCTCTCTCTCTCTCCCTCTCTCCATCTCTCTCTCTCTCCATCTCTCTCTCTCTCTCTCCATCTCTGTATACTTCACTTTGTTCCACTATGACTCCCTTCGTGTCTTATCATGCAGGTTCCGCAGAAGTTCCGCTTTCCCTTCTTCACGCAGCTCATGTGGTACGCACTGGACAAGTACGCGCACTCTCTGCGTTACTACCTGGAACAGTTTCACGGGTACAAGCCTGATGACAGTACCACCATCACACCCACTGGCACCATCGTCATGGACACCATCGTCATGGACGCCATAGATACTGTGGACAACACCATCGACATTGCAATGGACACCACCATTGACACTGCCATGGACACAAGTACTAGCGGCAAGGAGAAAGAAGAGAGCGATACTTCCCACACTGCTACAACTACTGCTGATGCTACCGAGCCGAGTGATGCGAAGTGTGAGACCGAGAGCGTTGCAACACCAGAGCCACCTGTTGCCGACGCCACCCCGGCAAAGTCCACACGCGTTGAGAAAGCGCACATTTCCGACAGCCCGTCCTCCGCTAGTCCCAGAATGCGGCGTCGCAAGGCTGCAATCGCCGCGGCCGCCGCCATTTCCATCACCGTGGCAACACCGACGCGCGCCTCCTCAGCCGCCAGCTCCAGCCCGACACCAACGCGTGCAGCAGCAGACAGCGCAGCCGCCGTAGCCAGCTCCAGCCCGACACCAACGCGTGCCGCCTCCACCCCGTCGTCATCGCTGGTGGTGCGTACCAGTGCTGAGTCGTCACCCAGTGCACTGACGGATGAGACGCGGCCGGATCATCCTTGCATCTCCACCAACTCCAGTACCAGTAAGTTTGGTGGAAAGCTGCGCTGATATAGTAAAATAATATTATACAATCATGTACATTCGTGTTGATGCTTTCTTATCTGATCATTACCAGCAAAATGATTAAAAAAAAAGTTTAAAAAAGTATATTATCGTGTCCGTTCCCGAAGGGAACTCACGACGGCCGCTAACATCCGGTAAACCCTAATAACACCCGGTACACCCTAATAACACCCGGTAAACCCTAACATCACCCGGTAAACCCTAATAACACCCGGTAAACCCTAATAAAAATAAAAATAAATAAAAAATTCGACGGATTCCTGTACCGGGCAGGTCAAGCACAAGGAGTCGTACAACTCCCTGGTCAAGAACCACCTGTCCGCTTCCGTGTGGGACGCCACCACCCTAATAACACCCGGTAAACCCTAACATCACCCGGTAAACCCTCATAACACCCGGTAAACCCTGATACCACCCGGTAAACCCTAATAGCACCCGGCAAACCCTAATAACATCCGGTAAACCCTAGCATCACCCGGTAAACCCTAATAACATCCGGTAAACCCTAATAACACCCGGTAACCCTAATAACATCCGGTAAACCCTAATAACACCCGGTAAACCCTGATAACACCAGGTAAACCCTAAACCCAAAATAATGATCACAGTATAATAATAAAATTATGAACTAAGAGGAGTAGGGCTCAAACGGCTACGGTTTTCACCTTTATTATTATAGTAAAGGGGAAGCTCACCCTAAAATGAAAACTTCTCAACTTGTAGCGAAAACTGCAATGATTCCAATGGTGAAGGTCCCAGGTTGATCGGAGCAGCCGTTCCTGAGTTATACCTGGAATTTTTTCCAGTGGGCATACCGTGAGTGAAGGGAGAGCAGACCGGGCCGGTCTAAGCAAGGAAGTAATCGGCATCAGAGGTGAGCATGCAGCATCGCAGATCGTCTCGAATTGCGCATCACATCAGCGGCAAAATTGCTCCTGTGCATGCAAGTGGATTTCCTTGCACTTCTCAGTTTGGGAAATGCTCGATTATGATAATTCTGCGTGCGAGTGCACTAGCCCTGAACATACATGTAGGTGACCCGTTTGTGGTGTCTCATAGCCTACCTCACGACCTTCTGCTTTCTTTCTGCATCACTTGTATCTTGCAGGTATATCATCTTGTGACGACCACATTGAAGTCTGAATTTGAAGTGCGAAGATGCTTCAGCAACCACATCGTACTTTTCCATTGCTTTCATTGTGCTTCTTCTGTGCATGTGTGTAACTTGTGGGGTATATATGTGATGACATTGTATGCTGGCGACACGGTCAGATTTTGTCCATGCGTGTAACGTACACCTGCATGTTATGCATTGAAAAGGATCTGCCACTTGCGATCCTGGGACAAGTATCAGGTCAGCTTTGTCTTGTGTGGGCTGTACCAGATTGCTGTTCACTTTTCCATTTGTTGGATATGTGACTTTCTGCAAGTCTCTGGTGTATGGTGGCCACTTCTTTGCTTGTCACTTTGTATGATATTACATTCTGTATTCGCTGCTTCCATGGCGTGGTCTGCAAACTGCAATCCTTCGGCAAATGTCATGTTTGCTGTGTTGTGCTTTGGCCGTCAGCTTGTCTACACGTTGTAGTTGAATTATTTTGTTCCACAACTGACTTCCTTTTAAAAGTACAGTGGCCACTGCTTTGCATTTTACATGAAGAATTTCCTGTTTGTGTCGTGTGCATGTGCGTATGTGTGCGTGTACTGCGTATCCGCGTGTTTGTGTATCTGTGTGCGGGGTAAGCGAGGTGGGGAGGGCTGGTATGTATCAGTGTGTTATCGCAGTCTCATGCCTACATACAGTACATCGCGCGTGTTCATCATGTTTACCTTCGGGGTTGGGGTGGGGAGGGAACGGAAAAAGAACTGAAATTATCCATATAAAAATCGGTCTGTGAGCGGTTCTGAAAAACCTTTACTGGCGCTGCCCCGTCGTAAAAGTAAGAAATTAAAACTGGCCCATTGTCCCCCCAAATGTGAACTGATCCACCTAAATCGGGAATGACGGGACCCGAACGCACCAGTAGCACGAGGTCGGGAGGGCACAGGATCACAGCACATCATAGGGTAACACCATCACTAGTACATGGTATCAGTGGCAGTGTAACTTTGCTAGTACACATAGTTACTTCCATCGGATATCCAACATGGGAGTTCATCGACGACCATGGCCTGTGGACCAGCGTCCCCAGCTGCATCCACAGGTAGGAACCTGATTGATTGATTGATTTTATTTGGATTTGCGAGACCAAACGAGCAGGAGTGCTCAATAACAGGGTAGCGAATGGTTGAGTTGTGCTATGTGACAATGTAGTGTGTGCGGAGGCCCAATACGATGTAAGGGGAAGGGAGGAGAGAAGGCCAGCGGAGAGTCAAACTCAGAAGAGGGAGGAGAGAATAACTGAAGTACCCATTTACTGTGCGAATTCAAATAAACCAGACAAACAGCAAAACGAGTACACAACTCACGAGAATAAAGAGGACTGGAGCACAGAATTGAACTGCTGAAGTACACAGCTGACGAGAATAAAGACAGGAGCACAGAAATGAACGGGAGGCAGTCTACAAAGTGGTGGTACCACCGGTGCATGCACCACGGTACATTAGCACATTATCGGCTTTGCAAAGTTCGTGGGTACTGAATACCATGGTATGGCCAACTGTGTAGCAGTCTACAACGACTTACGTGTAGGGAATGGCAGCTCGGCGGAATGCTTTGATGTTGCCCATAGCTCGCACCGTGTCAGGTATATGGTTCCATAACAGGCAACCGCGAGATGCCGGTCGGCATTGGCCTGCTCGGCTTCTGGCTATTGGTTGTTGTAGGCCCAGACTGCGCTGAAGGCGAGTTGCTCCGCAGTTGCGAACAAACAGTGCCTGCAGAGAAGGACTGGCACGGTTATGAACGCACCGCCATACCAGCACGAGCAGTTTCTGGCGATATACCTCGTCTATGCGATAAACAGAGAGCCTCTCCAAGAGATCACTGGCCCTGGTAAATCGTGGTCGTCCGAACACCGCCCTTGCTGCGCGGTTTCGGGCCACCTGCAAGCGGTTTAGCTGGTTGTGGGTAAAGCCGGAGCCATATGCTGACGATCCATATATCAAATCCGGCATGATGACAGATAGGAAGTACTTGCTTCGACTAGCTAGAGTGAGGCAGTGTCGCGCCCGCCACAGGCTACCGATCTTCCTAGCAGTGCGTGAGATGCACCGGTCAACTTGCGGTTGCCAGGTCATTCGTTCATCGATTAAGACGCCGAGGTATTTCGCGCTGGTGGTGTGCAGAAGCACATCATTTCGACAGCGTACACCCACGTCCGGCTGCTGCCCACTGCTGCTGGTAAAAACCAATACATTACTCTTCTTTGCATTTAATACAAGACCACGAGCGTCCAGCCAACTTGAGAGGGAGGTAACCGCCAAGCTGAGCGCATGAGACACCTCTTGCGCTGTCCGTCTTGCACATGTCAGGGCGATGTCATCCGCAAACTTTAGTGTTGATGCCGGCGCAGATTCCGAGGGGATATCTCTGGTGTATATGGAGAACAGCATGGGTCCTACAGAGCCCTGCGGCACACCACAAGTGCACCCTCGTGCTACTGCTGCGTTCGGGTCACGTCATTTGCGATTTAGGTAGATCAGTTCACATTTGGGGGTACAATGAGCCAGTTTTAATTTCTTACTTTTACGACGGGGCAGCGCCAGTAAAGGTTTTTCAGAAACGCTCACAGAGCGGTTCAAGTTATATGGATAATGTAAATAATACTCAATATGCTACCTGTGGTGTGGTGCAAGCTCAGCACTGAGCTAAATCAAGCTAAATCAAACATACAGCCTACACAGCCTCTAATGGCCCTCTATACAGTGCTGCGATGGCAGAACTTCTGAAGTTCACATCACCTTTCTTCCTCCAGCTATGCCTGTGACACCCTTTGTGAATCAAACACTAGTGGCAGGCCACGCGAAAATGAGAATGCGCGCAGCCAAGATTAGGCCATCATCTCCTTCATCCATCATCCCGGCGGTCACTCCGCCCGTTCAATATCCAACACCAGTCCCCAAGAAAGAATAAGGCACGAGATTTCAAGTAACTTTTTAGTTCAAGGGCAAAGCTAAAGCCAATGGCACTGATTTTTGGAATTGTCGAGTAGAACGAAAATAAAATAATCGAAGGCGATCATAATGACGGTCAGATTCGACACACACGTGACACAGTTTGGGTCGCGCTCGTGTGTCACGCTTCGCAGCTCGAGCGCGCCCATGATGAGTCTCGCGCTTGCGACAGGCTAGCCGCTTGCGACAAAAGTTGTCTTTTTTTACGAATTCTGTGACGTCATGTTTTGGAAGAATGTCCCAACCAGGGAGTCGTAAAAGCCCGGGAGAGGACACGGGATGCGCGCACGCGGACGATGTTTGCCTCGGCCAGAAAGTGAAGCACGCTAGGCCGGCGCGGCCTAGGCACCGGCGGATAATGCTAGTTAAATGTGGCAATTGTGCTACTAGCACTGCTAGTTATTTGGAGCGATTATGCTAGTTATAATGCTAGCAGTGCCGATAGTGCTACAAAAATGTCAATCCATGCGGTGGGAAATAATGACTTCCCTATGCAGTTACTCGGAATATGGCAGTATCACAGGACAACTCCAGACCTGCCAGACTCTTTGCCAGTACATGGAAGCGAACAAGTCTCTGATGAATCTTGAAATCCGCATCCACATACCACAGAACCACTGCAAGTGCCTCTCCCAGGCGGGAAGTTCCATCAAATATGACAGCCACATACAGTGCACCTGATATCTCCTTCTTTAATTCATCTTTCTCCTTGCAGTGCAGGAATGGAATCAGCTGAGCCATGTGAGTGCTATATGTTAAACGTCCGTAACCACTCTCCAGGAGAGGGTGCAGGCAATCCACCTTACTGAGCGGAATTCCAGCCTTTAGGAAAGCCTTAACAACATTGGCCCGCCGAACAACAACATCTTCGGACACAGCTTGTGACAGACCGCTTCCCGCCAGGTCAGACGTGCTTTCACTTGAAAACTTTTTCCACGAAATAGTTATTGCCTGTTGGTGAAGTTTCGCCCGCTTCTTACTCTCCTTTCCTTGCACATGTCGTTGGCTATTCACATGCGCTTTCACAATGCTGTGCTTGGTACTGATCGTCCAGTTACAAGCTGTGCAGTAGAGTTTCCCCGCAGAAACTGAGAGGTACTCGCCTGGGAATTCTGCTATCCGATCGTGTGTGCTGCGTCGAGGAGCTGCGGTGGATTCCCAGCTGACACTCTCACGCGCTTTGCTTCGGAATTCTGGCTCGAGTCGCTCGACTTTCCACTTCTTGCAAACGACCCTTTGCGGGCAATAGCAGCTGGTTGTGCTGCTGGAAGACTGTCGGCTGCCGCGTTCTTTTCCAAGTCAGAACTTTCCTCTTCGCTAACAAAGCCATCACTCTCACTGCTCTCATCTTCTGTTTCAAAACCAGAGCCTCCGTCTCCCGTAGCTGCCATCGGGCCAACAAATTACGACAAGCTACGACAGTACAACTAGTTTGCTCACTTATAGCGAAGGACTCACCACTTTTATAATTAATTTCACTGTCAACAACGACTCAACATGCTAAAGTTGAAGGCCAAAATAATTACAAACTATCGTTCTTACTTGGAAAAGACTCGCCGTATCATTGACATTGAGCTTCAAGACAAGCATTGCAAATTTGGAAATCAAATTTGCAAAAAGTGTGCACAATGCTATATTTAGCTCCAAGTACAAGTCAGTGCAGTTTGAACAACTCCGTAAACGTAGCAAACAGTGCCAAACACGCTTCTGGCAACGGTGGCATCCAGCATACACTTTCATCTGGACGTAGTGCTAGTTTCACACATCGATTGTGCTAGACAAGGTCACATTTGGAGGCTTTATGCTAGGGCAGTGCCGGTCTTCCCCACATGGGTCATTATGCTAGTTATTATGCTAGCATTATCCGCCGGTGCCTAGCGCGGCCGGATCTGCTCGATCCACGGCGCTGTGCTCGTCTTCAGGGCAGGGAGTCCTAAAATACCAATATTTTACAACTCGTTGTTGACACCATATCCGAAACTGGTGGCGAAGGAAGCATAAACATGATTGTGTGTCTGTCTGTCAGACTCAGTACACATGGTACAGGGGGTGGGGAGTTGAGGGCGTGTGTATGTGCACATGTGCTTGTACTTTTGTGTGTGTTTGTACAGTGTTTGTGTGTGCGCATTTTGTGCACAATTCCGTTATGAAGTAGAAATGTTCACCTTTTGTACACTCGCCAAGACTTCGGTTAGATTCACTGAGAACCTTTCTGGCCAACCTGGAGGCTGAGCTTTCCGTTTCCTAAACGGCTAAAGTCACCGCGTACTCAGTATACGAGTAGAAAAGTGTTGAAATTTAAGATTTATAAATAACGACCTGCAACCATATACAATGTAGATAGATAGGGAACACACATTGATTGTTTTTAAAAGAATCCAGGCAATATCATGAAACATGGAACGAGTGCGTAATAATGCTCTATGTTGCGTTTTGACGATGCTGAAGGAAGGGAGCCATTGCGATTCACTCACAACACGCGCACAGAAGTCCACTCGACTGCAATTTCAGTGCAATTTCTGACACAAATTCATAAC